AGGGGGAGGGAAGGGAAGGATGAACAGTAGCAGCATACATGCTATGGGCTCCAGAGCCATGAAAAAGCAGAGGCTCTGGACAGCCCCTGCCTAATCAACTGGCGAGCTCAGAGTTCCCTACTCGCAGAGCCCCAGCTGGAGCCTGTGCTGACCAATGAGCCCAGAGCAAGCACAGCACAGCCAAAGTAGTGGGGCAAAGCCCCACCCATTGCCCCATGCCTGGATCTGCTACTGCACCTTTATTACTGAGCCCAAACAGTCATTTTTCCTTCTGATTCAAAATGCATAAAGATCAATTATTCTAACCCAAACTTCTTGTCAAAGCAAGTTTTGGAGCCAATGGTAATGCTATGTACTTTTTCAGGAGGGAACAAGTGATCAAAGTATTATCTTAATGCCAGTAATTTCTCAGTATTTTGTGGCTACTCTAGCCTGAAAGCCTGTAATGAGAAGTTTCAAGAATACCAAATTACAATGTCAGGCTGTTTTAGAGATTTCAAGCATTAGAGCAGAATTTGTTTATTTTCAGTAAGGAGAAGTTGGGTCATTTCTGGTCTGACTCCTAAAAATCTACCACCATCATATTTTAAAAGTTTTACTTTCTACTGGTAGAGACCACGTAGGAGGCCAAGACCAGTGAAGTATTCAGTAGATGTACTAGGAAGAAAAAGTTGTGGGTTGCAAACGTGAGAGCAAACAAGTGTCCAGCAAAAATATGGGCAAATAACCTTTTTTTAACCTCCTCTGCTCCCTTATCTCTTCTTCAGCAATGGGAACGGGCACTTCCCTTAGCATCTTTGAAGGTAGGAAGATTCTTCCAAAATGAAAGGAATGCTGTGTAATCTCTTATGATATATAAAAGACCAAGATTTCTTACTCTCCACTTCACAAACCATTCATATCCATAGCACTCCTATTCCCAAACTGATCAGGAGGAACATCTAAAAGCAGATTTGTGCTTAATAATTAATGAAAATACATATTAAAGGGGAAGTAAAGATGCTTGGCTCATAGTTTGGGCCACTTCTCTGTGGTGACTTCATTCTTTATGGTTGGCCCAAAAGATGGTTAAAACATCACTAACAAACTGCTACAGCAGGCGTTGAGCATGTCTCCTACATGCAGACAACACATAAAACATGATGGACCACTGAGCCTTGTTATTCTGCATCCCAAAACCAGGAGTATATATCTATCTGCATTACAGTGTAAAGCAAAGCTATCCAAGCTAGCTCTTCAGGAGCTAGCTTGCATACTGGGAGTAGTCTAGGCATGGAACACAAAGCTCCAAGCAGGCATATTTATCCTGATGCAGACATGCACCTAGATTAAGTAGGACTTTAACTGGATTTGTAGATTATTTAATAGGGATTAGTCCTTGGAGTGCTTACTACATCCAAAGTCTCATGCATACAAAACAATTTCTAGCGCTGCCAATGTTTTGTAATTAAACGAAACAATTTATTTCCTTTTTTTTTTTTAAGGACATTGAATATTAAAATAAAAAATTCACCCCTAGAGCAGGGGCTCTAGACAGACAGAGGAATGACACTGACTTCTAGTGCTCACCCTCTTTGTTCCAAAGAACTACAGCTATTTGGCTGTGGCACAGAATCAAGATGAAACATAGCAGAAAGACTACAGGAAAAATATACGGAAAGATGGGAAAGATGAAAAACAAACCTAAATTAAATTCAGACAGACAGGAAATCTACTGCAGAAATTGGGGACCTAATTAGAGTTTAAAGATGAAAGGGCCTTGAGAGACTGAGAGGAAGGATGTTTACAGAGAACATCACAGTTAGAAACTACAGAAAAATCTTCTACTGTTCTGAAGGTGTGTTAATGTGATCTGCACCAAATACAGATATTAAAAATAATGATCTATGCCAGAACTGTTTCAAAGACTAATCATATTGAACTCCTACAACAATTCTAAGATTAAAAAAATAACTGTCATCTATGGGACCCATCTACCAACAGTTTAAACTTTTGCTTAATTTTGCTTCTGTATTTTGCTGGAGTGAGGCATATACTTGTTTTTCATTAAAACGGAGCTCTGAGGAAACAAAAACTTCACCATCATCATCTAAGACTGGGAGAGGCAATTATTTTGGCTGGAGGGCCACTTAATGAGTTTTGGTGAGCTATCGAGGGCCACAAGGTTGGCCTCACCCCTTGACAGGTGCTGTGCCTCCTGGTCACCATCTTGGGACCAGAAGTCCTGCCTCTAATCCCTGACTTTGGCCACCAAAAGTACTCCTTTTGGGAGGGGAGGGTTGCCATCTTGGAACCAGAAAAAAACCCCAAATCACATGCTAAAAGTCAAACACCTACTATAACATATTTTAATTACAAAAAATATTTTTGTCACGATTTATGTTTGTGTACTGTATATACAGCTGATTTCATAATAGCTCAAAAATAAAGTCTTACTCTGTGTGTGTGTGTGTGTGTGTGTGTGTGTGTGTGTGTGTGTGTGTGTGTTGGGGGGGCATAGGGTATATTGGGGGCATATATGTGGGGGATGTGGGGACCTGCCACATTCCCCACCACGGTACACAGCCCTCGCTGCTGCTAGCAGGAGCAGGCCCTCTGAACGCTCATGGCCCACTGCAGGCTGGGGCTCTGCACCCCACTGCCTTTGCCTCAGGAGCTGCATGTTGACTGTGCCGCGTTCCCTACCTGCCCAGTGGCAGGAGGTACAACATGGCATCGCACAGCTCACAAGGCAACAGCAGTAGGGTGCAGAGCCCCAGCCCACGGCAGCAGCCCATCTCCACCCCATGCACAAATCCAGGGGGTACATACTCCCCATGCCTCCCCTGGGGTGCATGCAGCGGTGGGACACCCCTCCCAGGACGAGCCACCTGCAGCTCCATGCCATGACCCCTACTGACCACAGGGCCCCATTCACACCAGCCCCTGAGCCACTCCCTCTCACCATGAGGGCCTTGATCTGCCCCACCACGCTCCTTCCCCTTCACAGACTTGCTGGCTGGGCAATGTTCCTAGCTGCCTGCAGGCTGTGGCTGCGTGTGTGTGTATGCCCCACCCCCACTGCAGCCACCTGGAGCCTATACCCGGTCTGCTCCATCATCCTCTGAGCTGCCACCAATGCCCTGTAGGGCAACCCGGAAGTGGCAGTGACAGCGGTGGAGCAGAGCCTGAGCACAGGCTCCAAAACCACATGATCGAATAATGCATTAAAAAAATTAACTTGAACAACAATTAACGTGTTAATAGCACACGTTAACTGCGATTAATTGACAGCCGTAGTAAAAAGTGCTTTCATAAAAATCAAATCGAATTTATTCAATTTTAAGTGATTTTTTTTTTTAACCAGATAGTGCTTAGTTTAAAGACAGCAAAGTGTTTTAGGGGAGGGAACCTATTTTTCAACATGCAGAATACTTTAATGCTGCATCTAAAGGCTTCGAACATTACACCCAGAATAACTTAACTAAAAACAGGAGAGAGATAAATTGTATCATAGTAATTTAAATTACAATGTAATAATATTTATATTATTGTAATGTAAATTATTATAATGTAATAATAATGCTAATTTAATACTATCAAATCATTACAATTTAATATCATCATCATAATTCATCAGAAACACTGAATGCTAAGGGATATCTAACATCTAAATCCAGGACAGTAAACAAAGTTTTTTAAAGCCCCAGCCTTCTGTGAGCTCAAGCAACCTGATCTATCTGTGTGTGTAGCTCCTACGAGCACAAGTATTCAGGACAAAAAACCGCTGCAGTTGAAGGAAGGAGACAATTTGCAGTAGTCAGTGAGAAGCTAACAAAATTTAGGAAATGGAGGATAAGGCCTTGACATACTTTCCTGAAACAGTATGTGGATATAGTTAATACATGTTACTACACTTGCCCTCAAAGAGGCATATTCTAGTTTGGAATTTTTCATGTTGATGTAATCTGGCTTTTCAAAGCTCAGAAAAGTGAAAATAATATGAAGCATGGCTGTGAACCTGATGGCCAAAGAATAAGCAATCTTCCAACAACCTCAGTCTCTGAGGAACGCACAGCATGGATCTTTGCTGTTGAAGCAAAAAAGGAATTATAAACAAAAAAACCCCAACAAACTTAACTTTTTCTTTATTTGAGCCCTCCTGATGATTAAATAAGAACTGAGAAAAATGTTGAAACAGCTTATTTCTTGCTGAATTTAGAATGAGCTATAAAACTCATTTATATTTCAGGAAAAAAAACGGCATTCTTCTGAAAAAGAAGAAAAGGTAATATCTGCTGAGAGCTATAAACTCAGAATCTGAAGACTAATTCTTGTGAAAGAATCTGTTGATGGTGCTCAAGAGTAATTCCAAAAATATTTCCTTTAAATGACCATCAATGTCAAAAACCTGATATTTTGTTCCCAGGTGTTTTGAATGGACTTCCTTCTATGAACATCATGATGTTTTAAGAATAGCTTGTGACAACTAAAGTGAGGCATGCAAGCAGTTCTTTATTGCATCCAGTTAATGAAGTGGTACAAAGCTCACCTCAGTCAATGAGACACTACCTAAGAATAAGGATCTGTTTTTTGTGGATCTTACTCCAGATCTGGTTCTTAGAACATAAAATTACTCAGTGACTTCTATTCTATTCCTTTATAGTGGTCCAAAGAG